TCCACCTCTGAATGGCTTAAAAAACAAAATGAAGGTTTTGGAGTGGTCTTGTCAGAGTCTGGACTAAATCCAATTGAGATGCTGTTGCATGACCTTAAACAGGCTGTGCATGCTCGAAAACCCTCCAATGTCCAATCGTCCATAGCGACGTGAAAGACAGTTATCCCATTTTTTTTACATTGGTTATCTTTGTCCAATATTAACATTTGTGACACATATGCAAAAAAATAAGAAATATAGCAAATACTTTTTCCCAGCACTGTGTATACATGTATTTGTATATATGAATGTGTACATTTTAACAGGATGTTTTTCTCTTCAGCACAGTTTGACCCTTACAGGGTCCTGTAGTATCAGTCAGATATCAATGTATCCGAATACTGATCTTTTTATATGTATTTATAATCGTCTGGTTGTGTGATCCATATGAACCTGTCAGTGATTGGTTGCTCGGTTTGTTTATAGTTTTTAAGCCGATCTTTGCTTCGGCTAAAATGTGCATCAACCCGACCGCTGAGCTGGAACTGAAAACCCCAAAAGCTAATCTGCACCTGGAGGTCCAGAACATCGCTATCGAGATGACCAAACCACAGGTGAAACAGACACACAGTTAAAACAGACACACAGGTGAGACAGACACACAGGTGAGACAGTAACAGCCTGCGTCCAGCAGGCTGCTGACAGTGGACATAGGAGAGGACGTTGGACCTCCGTCCAGACAACACGCAGGAAATAACTTAGAAACAACTTAATGTTTACAAGAAATAATTAACAATGTGTGGTAGACAGCAATTCTCCTCACTCACTAACTCTAACATAAAATATATGTAATATAAACTAATAATAACTTTAATAACATATAATATATAGAATATAGATAATGTATACTAATAATTACTAATAACATAATATGAACTGATAATAAGTCTAATAATATGTAAACTAATGAGTGTAAAACTGAGTGATTTTTGAATGGAGTCTGGTCATATTGAGGTTATTAGTTCAGTGAGTTCACAAACAGCTGCTGCTGATCTCAGGTCAGATCCAGTCAGACAGTTTCTGTGTTCTTACAGGACGTCAGTGAGGAGGAGCTGCTTCACTGTGGACCAGGACTCATTAGAGTTTAAAACCTATGTGGTCTAATGAGTCCCAGTCCACCTCAGGAAGTGGTCTGTGGAGTGGAGTGTGTCTCTGTGGTGATTTACATTGTATTTACAGGTTGATTCGAGCTGAAACCAGGTTTTATCCTTAATACTGTGCAGGTTTCTGATGTGTTAATGTGGTCCTCTGCAGTATCTAACCATGGTGGAGCTGCTGGAGTCCATTGACTGCATGGTGAAGAACGCCCCCTACAGGAAATTCAGACCTGACGTCTCAGTTCAGAGCAGCCCCAAACTCTGGTCAGTTAAACCTGAAACCAACAGTTTCTACTGAATCTGGTTTTAGAAAGATATTTGAGAGTGGTACTAGAGGACGAGCACCATAGGAGGAGCACAGGTACCATGTGAGACAGGATATGATGTTGTTTCTGTGCCAGGTGGAGGTACGCCTTCAACGGCATTATGGAGGTCCACATCAGACGCTGCAGTCACATGTGGTCCTGGTCCAACATCAAACAGCACAGAGAGAACCTGAAGGCCTACAAGACCGCCTACAAGACCAAACTGCTGAGCCAGAACAAGCCGAACCAGGACACGGAGCACAACATCCAGGTGACTCTTCTGAATGTACATGTATAATAGAATATCTGACAGTATGTTTATCAAGCAGACCACACTAGAGCTGATTGGTGTTTGGGTCTGACCTGCTGACTGCGGTCCGTCTGTTTCAGGATCTGGAGAAAGTTCTGGACGTATTCAACATCATGTTGGGCCGGCAGCAGGCCCAGATGGAGGTAAAGACAATGAAGACTGAGACCTGAGTTCAGTTTAATGATTCACCATTTTAACCCAACATGACCCTCTCCTCTTCCTCCTCTTCCTCCTCCAGGTCATCAGGTCAGGACAGAAGGTGGTGGGGAAGAAGGCGCCAGGGCAGAAGCAAGGAGGAGGTGGAGGTTTCTTCAGCAGCTTCTTTGGTAGAAAGGCCAAGAAGGAGGAGCAGGAGCCAGAGGAGAGCAAGGAGACAGAGAGTAAGTGAGACAACCAACAAGATCCAACTCTTCATCATCACTTTAACCTCTTAACGTATATACTTGTTGTCTGCATATAACGATAAGATATTGTTATATATATTATATTGTTATAGAGTTATTTTCTACAATGGAAGCAGATATTGAACAGAAGAGGAACTCCACACAATTTTTGTCTTGACCTTTTAAAAAGGATTCAAACCAGTTGAGTTTCACACAATTGCCTGATTGGGCAGAAAACATGGACTGCATCTTCCTTTGGTAAAAAGACAAAGTAAAAGAAAACCAATTAAACCGTGATTATTCTGAACCGTTATGTCGTTTGAGATCAAGCGTCTTTTGCTTTAGCTCATTAAAAAATGTAATTATTATTAACTGGTGCATCTACAAAATAGTTGGTAAGATATGTGACATATACAGTCAAGGCCGAAATTATTCATACCCCTGGCAAATTGTGACTTAGTTACTTTTATTCAACCAGCAGGTTTGTTTTTTTTTGACACAATGACACAGGCTTTTCCCAAAAGATAATAAGACGATGTACAAAATACATCATTATGGAAAAAATTATTTGTCTTTTATTTACATTTGAACAAAAAGTGGCATGTCCAAAATTATTCATACCCTTTGCAAACTGTCACAGTCTATGGGAA